CCCTATCTGTGTACCAAATTTCAACTTTCAACTCCTAACCGTTTGGCTCATATCCATAATGTATATAGAAGTTTTAATCCTGTCTCTCTCCCCCCGGGGGGGAATTTCGAAAAATCCCTTCTTAGTGTGCGTTTTCGTGACGTACCCTATCTGTGTACCAAATTTCAACTTTCAACTCCTAACCGTTTGGGCTCTGCGCTGATTATTATTATTATTATTATTATTATTATCAACCCGTCTCGATTATATATTAGATACAATATGGTTCTTGTATAAGGACCACGTCGTAGGTTTGAAGTTTTATCGAGAGCAGCTAGGTGGCGTCTTTTCCTCTGCCGAGGTTTATTTGCAGGATGCTAATTTTATCTTTAATTTTTTGTTCCTTAGTATGTTTTTGCAATGATTATATTTTTAATTTTCTGATAAATGGGGGATATGTGGTCTATTGCATTGTGACTAGTATTTGTAAGTCTCCACGCAATTTTTACAAATAGGAGTTTCTTCTTCTTTATTATTACATTCTTTGTAACTGTGTCCCAGTGCAGTGAATGCATTCCTACCTCTCCCTCCCTCTCGATGGTCCGACATGGATATCAGAAACACTCCAAAAATAGCTTTTGGGATGCAAATCTCTCTCTTATCCAACCATAATCATGCTACTTTTCACTAATGTTTTCATTTTTAGCTGAGAAAACATTTAAGAAACATCCATATATCAGGTAATAGTACTAACTCTAAGAATCCGAATGGGTTACAGCCCCTTCAAGTTGGCGCCCATGTATCAGGCCTTTAAGGACATACTCGCCGCCCGCAAATTTATATTTCATCACGAAGACGTCCATTATGAATGGAACTTGATCAATCAGCGCCAGAAATACATGGACCAACGCATAGTGGAGTTTTCATATTCAAAAGTTGACCAAAATATTTTAGGGTAGTTTTCGTTTCTTTATCATTAATACATATATTAATTTTTATTTGAACAAATTTGCTTTTTTGTTAATTAATAAAAGTTAGAATTATTGGACTATAGAATTATTAAACTAGTTGGGAAATATAACAACAATAAATATAAAATAATAATAATAATAGTAATAATAATAAGATATAATTTCTAAACAAAAATTGAAATTAAAATATCTTAAAATGGTTTTCAAAAGCTACATTTAAAATAGTAATTTACATAAATCCAGGAATCAAGTTCGTGTCGAATAATTAATAAGCACACAGTTTTATAATACAAACGATGCTCCAACGAAATTATATCCCAGAGATTTGTTTTTGACACGTTTTAAGTACTATGGAATAGCAACTAATATTGAACAAGTGGGGTCCCATTTTTTGTTTATACAAATAATACTATAAATGATCATTATTATTATATTATTAATATTAACTATTTTTTACTATACGATAAGTGCCCATTGTTAATGAAAAAGTATTAAAAATTTATGATAATTCGATTTTTGTGGGCCATTGATACTTCGGGGCCCATGGCTTAAGCCCTATTAGTCCCTATTTGGTTCCGTCCCTGACTGTAGTTCTAAACAATGGTTAAATCGCGACTCAATACTGCTTCAAAAATTCTACTTTTGGCCAATTTTTTTATAGTTGTACTCCATTGTTTGTCGTCGTCACCTGTAAATTGTTTTAAAACTCTTTCCGCCCTGTGGACACTAGCCCATTATGGGTTCGGCCAGGCCCACGATGTGGCGGCCGGGTGGTAAGGAACGGACCACCCCCGAAAAATTTCTGGCGATTTTTCGACCCGTCCTTATTCGATCGACACCTGTGAATATAAAGGGACCAGTCATACAGTCGCCTCTAGAAATTTTCCGATTTCCGGATGGCCGTCCAAGCTTTTATTGCTTATTAGTAGATGCTGATTGTGATTATTTTGATTAAATTGGTAAATTATATCTCATTTTTGCGGCTTTAAATGTATCAATATTACGTGAAATTGTACGCAACAAACTATTTGTGCTAGACGTAAAGCGATAGAATGCGAATAATTTGATAATATATTTAAATTAATATGAATGGAAATACTGTTTGCATTTTCATCTATTACCGTAATTATAATTATAATAAAAATAATAATAAATTGTTGGTAAATATATCAAGTTATCAATCTAATTGTTCTGATTTCAAGGTCGCGATTTATATCTACCAGGTGGCGATATTATTACACAATACAAAAGACGTACTGTACAGTACAATACGTATACAAAAGTACATAATGGAAAACTCAAATGCGATTGGAAAATGAATAAAATGTCGCATTCAAAAAATAAATTAAAAATCAAAGATATTAAAATTAATTTTAAAATATTCCAAACATTAAATACAATTAAATTAAATTCCTTATCGGTTTAAATATTTATCGAATAGGCGACGCAGTTAGATCCAGTGCAATTTCCATAATCGTGTAGGATTAACTACAGCAGACTGAGCATGCGCACATAAGTCGTTCAAAAGATGGCGGCAGTTCGAGAGAGCAGCTGGCTGTTTCCGGTCGTCATTTAAATGATGGATAAAGAAACATTCTTTTATTAGAGTCGACGTCAGTCAACATGAGATATGGAAGAATCTCGTGAAGTTTTAAAAGTGAGTATTTATGTTTACTTACGTTCTTTAGCTTTGTTTTTGTTTGTGATGATCACCTGTGCAGGTATAAAGGCACAAGAAGAATTGGAACATATCCATTGACTGGAACAGGAGACCTAAATTTTCTCTCTGTTTCTCTTAGTTTCATAGCGTTATTAACCTAGAATATTGTGAAATATGTGGAAGATACACCTAAAATATTTACTAAAATTTTATTTAATTAAATGTAATTTTCATATAATTAACTGTCAAAGAGCTTTCTTTCTTGTGATTTAATACTGCCAACATAATGCACTTTATATGGAGATAAAATTTAAATTCGGTGTCTTGTTTGATAGACTTTGACTATAGAATTACATTTTTAAGCTTTCAAATATTGAAACACACTTGAAAATATTATCTGTCTAAAATACTTATGAGTATAATAAATCCCTCTTTATTCTAAAGTTCAATGCAGATGATATTTAAATAGGAAGAATAGTATATGAAAGCAATTAGAGCAACAAATGCTTTAGAATTTCAATTGTTCTAGCTTATAATAATGTGGAACCGTAACTATTTAAAATAATAATGATGATAATATGCTTCATTGAAGCTTGCTGTACTAAAAAACTGATTTAAAAATCGTTTTTTCTTCAGTTTATACAGTATTGTTAGCGAGTGTCTTTTGTCATCTTTTATGTTTACGATATCTTCTAAGTTTAGTATTTTATATATTGTTTTTAATGATTTGATAAAATTTTGGTTTGAATTCTTTTATAAGAAAAATTTATTTTGAATAAATATATTCAGTACTCAAATGTGAAGCTACTAAATTTAGATCAGATCAATTTTTAGTGAAAATGTCTGAGTTATTGGATCTTATACCAAAAAACATCAAAAATATATATTTATTTCCTGCTTTTTTACTAAATTTGTATATTAAATAATAATTTTATTTATGTAATTCAGATTAATATATTTTTAAGTAAATGATACTTCACTAATTACTAATTAAAAAAAGTATTTGCTTTCATTTATTAATTTACATTTAATATATGAATTTTGAATGTAGTCACTTAAGATAGTAAGTAATTTTAATTAATTTGATTAGAAAACATATAATAAAATTGTTTCCTCTATAACTTTTTTTCATTCATTAAACATATTGATAAGTGATTAATTCTCAGCTGTTGGATAACTTTTTTATCTTTTAATTTGCATAACATAGAAATACTGAATCTATTTTCATAATAATGATATTCCAAATCAACAACGATAATTTTTATGATTTTTTATAAAATTTTATTAAAAATGTCAATAAAATTTAAATAAACAAAATTACTTAAAAACTTCTACTGTGCTTTTATTTATATAAACAATAAAAGCATTATTTTGAAATTTCTTTTATTTTTTACTTGATTCAAGATGTAATAGCAAAATGGATATGTAAGTTTACAAAATAGATACCTGTAAGAAAAAAAAAAACTTGCATTTCAAAATCCAAAATTTTATTTTTAAAATAAGATGCTAAAAATTTTTCAGTGATTATTTAATTATTCATTGATAAAAAAAAATATTTTTGAATTTTATTGACAAAAATGTTAAGTCAGTATAGTCCATAAAACTTGATTTAAGTATATTTCATTGTATAAAAAGAAAATGATAATTTTAATTTTAATTTTAAATATATTTTACAGAAGTCACAGTAAGTCTCTAATTTGTTTCCATGCATTTCTATAAAATTATTTTTACCATTTAAAAAAGAAAATATAATGCAGTTAAAAAAAATGATTGTAACAATTTTAAATTATCGTTGTCTACTTTATAAAATTTTTAAACATCCTTAAATTTTTAATGCTGTTTTTCATTTTAGTGTTTTTAGTTTGATAATTTAAAAATTTACTCATGAATGTTTGTGTAAAATTCCATAAATTACACATGTACCAGTATAATTCTATAATGGATGTACAGTTCTTTTGATTTCCAGCTTATGGTTGATTACATAAAACCTTGAATATGAATAGCATTCTTTTATTTATTCTTTAAATTTTTTTTATGTACAGTATTAAAAAAGATAATAAATGTCAGTATTACTATTATAATAAATTTCAGATAACATTATCTAAAATTAAATTAGCAGTTACCAGAAATAATTTAAAAATTTTATTAAAAAATGTTTTCCTGATTTAATTTCTTTTCACTTTAAATTATATATGAACTTTTCATTATCATTTTTAAAAGAATCATTTATAGAATTTCTTTTTATTGAAGAACAATCCCAAAAAACTTTTCAGAACTAAGTTTGTCAAAAGTAATTTTTCAAAATGTTGTTTTTTAATATTTTTGTGGTGAATTATTTTAATTAATAACTATAAAAAAATCTATTGTAATTTCCTTTTATACGTGCTTAAAATTTAACATTTTAATTTTAAACATGTATAAAATGTCATATAGATTTGTAGTTATTTTTGATGTATTTAAAAAAATTGTTGCATTTACTTTAATATCCACAAGATAATGTGTACAATGCTGAAAATTAGAACAAAGAGCAGTTGTGAATACCATCTGCAAGAGTGTAATAAAAAATCTTTTAGTTAGTTTTTAAAATTTGTTATCATATACTTTAGAAATGTAAATATGCTATTATGCATAAATGTAAATTTGATTAAATCTATGCATAATAGTTTTAAAAATAAAACGAATTTTTTACTTATAACTAAACATTTACTGATATTTGGATATTAAAAAATGTGTTAAGATTATGATTTTATTAATTTTTTTATGATTAGAAATTTAATTGTACAGTACATCTAACAGTTATTATCAGGGAAAAAGCTAAAATATGAAATGTACAGGTTTATCTAGATTTTTCAAGGACAATTATTTATTAAATTTAGCCAATTTAAATAAAATGAAGCAGCAGACTAAATATACCTCCTTATTATATTGTGATTGTAGGTTGGATAATAAGTGTTAAATTTGAATATTGATATCCTGCTGTTTTTTTAAATATAATTATTTTAATTAACTATCGTTATAGTTATTAATGTAAAAGTACTTGATTTCATTGCAATATACAGATATTGTTTAACGATACTGCTGTAGTTTGTGCATACCTCCTGCAATGTGATAAAATATTTGCTTTCAAAATATGACTAATATTCTTTTATGTAGAGTAGATTTTATTTCTGTAGAACACGTGATGTTTAGTCAACAGTAATATATCAAATTTAATACGCAGGTTACATTACAACCTGTCTGGTATTGATCACAGTAAAATAAGGCGCATATATATCTATATTTTCTTGTTATAGATCAAATTTAAAAAAAAAAATTCTACTGGATGATACAATCTGCGTTTAAAGGAAGTTTAATATTTTAATTGAAAAACGTCCCTGAATGTTATTCGACTTCCCGTTTTTCTATAATGCAATCAACGACTTACAATATCGTTATCATGCATTGTTCGCCCGCGCTATTTTCAGCTTTTAATTTTTTTTTTCTAGTGACTAGAGCTTAATTGTCCCATTTTAAAATGTACTAAAAGCACAGCCCTATTGATATCGATTTTTTTGCAGTTTCGTAGCGCAGATCGCACACGCGATGAGATGCGCTACGTCTGTTTGCGCTGCATATTTTTTACTTCTAAGTTACCTATAGATTAATTCGTATGTCATCGGCCGTTTGAAACGTTGACCCGTATACGTAACATCAACTTTACCATTTTTTTTTATTATTATATTTTGATGAATGGTGAACATATTTCCACGCTCCAAAGATTGGCGTAAAGATGGAATTAAACTGACAGGGAAATTGAGAGATGGGATTTTTACCTATATACCGTGAGAAATTGTGATTGCTTTCGATAGTTTGGGGGTGGGGAAAATATTTTATCATCTGATGGACGATAGGTAAAAGTTTCTAAACTTGTAAGGTTAACCGTAGTTACAATTGGACAGGATATTGCATCAGTGGCTATTGTGTGTATAGTGACGGAATAGTTGTTCGGCCATGCGAACATCCTGTACAGTTTAGAAAACTATATCACTAAGAGTAGCAATTTTAGTTCTGGTGTTGCGACCTTGGTCTGTTCTGTCCTGATACAATCGATATCGGCGTATTTCACGTTTTTCCCTCTTTATGAACGTAGCTACAAAGATTATGTACTGGATAGTTTTAACAGAGCAAAATCTCACACCGTGTGAAAACTTTGTGTAGACGCGTAACGTTTTAGGGGTGTAAAGCTTAGTTTGTTTTTTTTAACCAAGTGCGACAATTATGAAATTAACGTGTTAAAGACGTTGAATACAAAGTTTTCATGCACTGCAAGTTTTTTTTGTTTTTTTGACAGCGTTATTTTAATGATTGGTCTTTTTAAATTCTAAATGCGTTACGTAATGGTACTGTAACTTTTTTAAGTTTTCAAATTTTATAGTGTTTTTGCTTAAAATTATTCATAAAAACTGTTTTGTTTTATTCAATTTTCTCAATTAGATGTTATAGAAAAACATCAATTCACGGATTTTCGTTACTTTCTTCCTGTACTAGATCGCATTCTCATTTGGAATTTTACCGACAACAATACATTCTGTAGATTTTTTTTCTCCCGCTCTTTATTCACTTTCGTAGTATAACGGGAATAATTTGAAACAGGAACTGTAGATTTGCATTAATGAATCCAAGCGCACCGTAGCAATTCTTTGCTATTGAGGGAAAAATTCCCACCCTTAATTCATATAAGATTTGTTTATTTTTCTAATTCTAGCTGATAATTCTAGGTATGGCTATTAACTAAACTCATTCAGCGTTTCATCATTAATAGATCTACACAACTATCTTTCGTCCATGATAAAAGCTGCACGTGTCTATTCTTTCGTTGCTTTACCGACTGATAAAGGTCACGCATGCAGTATGATCCTTTTTTCTCCTACGATGCAGCTTACAGCAGAAAAACAGCACCAATCTTATATAAAAATTCGAATAGTTGATTCGTTACTGTAAATACGACTCGCCCGGGA